CCCCACACACACACACAGGTGCTGCCCGGCTCACTCACCTCCAGTAAACCAGCACAGCGATGAGAAGGATGAGGCACACGAAGGTCAAGGCTGACACCACTATCAGGGGGATGATCCACTCCATCCTCCCCGGGGAAGGGCGGCTTATCATCCCAGAGGTGTTCTTTTCTGCTGCAAAGAGAAGACCATGCCAGTTAGAGGACAGAGCCGGCAGGGAGGGGCGCCAGGGTGGCCGAGTTCTGCTCCGGTGTGGGTGCCCACGCAGACCTGGGCTCCCGCGCTGACTGCCCGGTGACCGGAGGGGCACCTGCAGCCCACACATGTCCTACCGAGTCCAACCCAAACCCGGCCTTTCCTGCAGGCGGCACCTGCACCACCAGTGGGGTGGGTTTGCAGGCAGAGTTCAAGGTGGTTGTAAGGAGAGCTGCGGAGACAGGCACCCCACCTCGCTGCAAGGATGTCGCTGAGCCAGAGCGGCCTGGACACTGAGGAGACGTGGAGCCTGAGGCAGCAGCACCCGCACCCCTGGAGAGGCCGGCGCCTCTGGGCTCGCTGGCGCAGGGCAGGAGAAATGGCAGGATGGCTTTGCTACATGAACCGGCTCTGAAGACAACGGTTATGAATATTGTCTGGGAGCTCAGCAGCCATCACCTTCCCCTAATAACAGCACCCCAATTCTGCGTGGGGAGCTGCCTCTCCCTAACAGTCATGGAGGGGCCCCCAGTGTCCCAGCCGAGGTGAGTGTGGCTGCAGCGAGGACAAGGGTGCTCCCGCCCTGGAACCTCAGCTGCTCGGTGTGCACAGCACCCAGCCCAGCAGGAGCCCCCGCCCCCCTCCCTGGGCAGCCCTCAGTCCTCAGCACCCAGAGCCCTGGAGTTCCTGTCTCTCCAGTGTTGTCTTTGATGGCATCACCCTCCTGAAAGCTCTAAGCTGCAGCGGTGGAGGACACCCTGCCCCACGATGCCCAGCAAGCCTGCCTGGGAGCAGCAGCCCGGGCAAGGGGTCCACAGGGGAGTCAAGCCTGCTCTTACCCGGCAGCGCCTGCCTGTCCCAGGCCCGGGAGCCTGGGGGTGGGGGAGGGGAGAGCCTGCTCTCGCGTGGCGTGGGCAGGTGCCTGGAAGCCTCCAGGGGGCCCGAATGGAGCGCAGGTGTGGTGCGGGGCTGGGGAGAGCACGGGTGAGCAGAGGCGAAGGTGGGAGGCGGGTGGTGAGAAAGCCAAGGTTAAGCAGGGGTCCTCAAACTACGGCCCGCGGGCCACATGTGGCCCGCCGAAAACATTTATCCGGCCTGCCGGGTGTTTTTGCCGCCGCTGTGTGCATAGGAATTTGTTCATAGTTTGTTTTTTTTAAACTATAGTCCGGCCCTCCAGCGGTCTGAGGGACAGTGAACTGGCCCCCTGTTTAAAAAGTTTGAGGACCCCTGGTTAACTGGGACCGCAGAGAAGCCGCCGGACAGATCCAAAGCCGGCTCAGGCTGCCGTGCGCTCGCCAGGACTCCTGGGCTGGGAAAGGAGGCCAGCCTCCGCCAGCGAGTCCCTCTCAGGATGGACTAGAGCAGTGGTTCTCCACCTTGGCTGCACATTAGAATCACCTGGTAATCTTGTTAAAATCCTGATTTCTGGGCCTCATCCTCTGGAAATTCTGTTTCTTTGTTACTAATGTTGTGGCCCCACCCCATAACAAAGAAACAGAATTTCCGGAGGATGAGGCCCAGAAATCAGGATTTTAAAAAGATTCCCAGGTGATTCAAATGTGCAGCCAAGGTTGAGAACCAGTGGACTAGAGGGAGGGCTAATCAGGCCGAGTTTCCAAGTGAGAGAAGGTGGGCCGAGCAGAGAGGGACAGTGGCCTTGGGAGCACACTTTTAAAGAGGCCAGGCTCCCGAGTAAGGGAGTGTGTCGCAGCCTCCACCGGTTCCTGGAGCGCCGCTGGTCTGGGTCCCCTCCACCGTCTCCTGCCGGGCCCTGTACGCAGGCAGCGCCTCTCGAAGCAGGCAGCACCCCATTTCTGCCCAGCTCAAGGGGAGGAGGCCGGGCAGGTGGGCACACCCGATTAAACCGCAGCAGAGCCCTCCACGTCCATACCTGCCTTCCCAGAGTGGCAGCCACTCCTCCGGACCCACAGCTGCACACGTTTTGTTGGACAGCTACAGGCACACCTCGGAGCCACTACGGGTTCGGGTCCAGACCCCAAACTAAGGGCGTATCACAACAAAGCGAGTCGCAAGCTTCCTGCTGGTGGAGAGTCTTGCCTTCAATTTGTAAAAAAACACAGTAACCCCGAGGAGCAATGAAGCGAATCCTGCCTGTATCTGCCAAGCCCTACTGTGTGCAGGGCATGGTGCTCGGGGCTGCGGAAGCACCAGGAAGACCAGGGTGGGGCGGGGGGAGGAGCACAAATCATTTAAAGGGGGAGAGGCAGACACAGGAGCGAGCAATTAGAATAAAGGGAAGGGGGAACAGCTGCTCTAGCCCAGGGGCTCTGGAGGGGGCTCCCTGACGTGAGGGTGAGACCTGGGCGTGAGCCAGGCCGAGGGCAGGAAGGACGGGGTCCAGACGGAGAACTAAAGGGGTGGGAGTATGAGAACGAGGAGAGGGGACCAGCTGCAGAGTCAGGCCACGTCAGCCAGGACTTTGCTGGCTGAATTGAGAACAGGGATTAGTCCCAGGGCAATGGAAGCGTCCATTCTCCCTCCACGTATCCCTCTCATAGCAAAGCTCTGGGGACGGGCCAGAGCAGTGATGGCGAACCTATGACACGTGTGTCAGAGGTGACACGCGAACTCATTTTTTTTGGTTGATTTTTCTTTGTTAAATGGCATTTAAATATATAAAATAAATATCAAAAATATAAGTCTTTGTTTTACGATGGTTGCAAATATCAAAAAAATTTCTATATGTGACACGGCACCAGAGTTAAGTTAGGGTTTTTCAAAATGCTGACATGCCAAGCTCAAAAGGTTCACCATCACTGGGCCAGAGACATCAGCTGCAGATGAGAAGAATTTGCGGGGCTCCAGCAGGGGGAGCCAGACAGGCAAGTCTCTCGAAGACCTGAGCTCCTGCGCAGGGAAAATAGGGCAGGAGGCCAACACTACAGGCCACGCGCCCAATGACCTCAGAGTCCACCTGGGAGGGCCTTGCGTCCCGGAGGGACCCCCAGTGTCACATCTCCTCCCACCTCCTTACACTACAGGGTAGACGATGGGCAGGGGGCAGAATGCAAACCCCACGTGCTACTCATCTTACCACTGAAAGGGGCTCTTGGCCCGAACAGCCCCTGCACACGGACCTCTCTGTGGGGCGCACATCTCTGTGGGTGCAGATGAAGGGCTGCTGGTGGGCCAGTGGGGCCGGGACTCAGAGAGAGAGAGAGAGAGAGAGAGAGAGCGAGCGAGAGACCCTTTGTCCGAACCATCTTCCAAGTGAGACCCCGAGGAAGGTGCGGCTAACCTCCCAGAGCACCTGCAGGGGTGAGGGAAGTGGCCACCCCGTGGGCAGACAGCTCTCCTTCCTCCAGGTTCCCTTTCAGAACCCAGTCAAGTGCTTCCACTCTGCCTTTTAAAAAAATTTAAAAAAAAGAAAAGAAAAACAGTTTTCAGTGGCATATGTCATCGCTGAATTAATGCTGTTTGCCTTTTCCTGGCTTGGCTCTCATCCCAGTACCAGCACATAAAAGCGGAGAGCACTGCACTGTGGATGCCGCGGGCGGAGGCGTCAGATGGACCCGACACGCTGCCCGCTGCCCGCAGGAAGGGCGCGCTCCCGAGGCAGGACAGCAACCCGTCGGCAGGACTAAAGGGGCTTGGCGCCCACGGCCCACTGACCGGGTGGAGGAAGCAAGATTCTTCTTTTCCAGAAAGATCCAGGGAGGGACAAGTCGCCCACGCATAACTCTCTAGCCTGGTTCCACCGCGGGCAACTTGACTGTATTTGTTCTGAGTGAAAACCACCCTCATCCGTGAATTAAGGCGGCTGCTTTTTACAACAACTGTGGTAAAAAACACATAAAAGTTCCCATTTTAACCCTTTCTAAGAGTCCAGCTTAGTAGTGTGGAGTATATTCACACCGTTGGGCAACCAGTCTCCAGAACCTGTTTTAATCTGCAAAACTGAAAGTCTGTCCCCATTATCTGCCCCCCCCCGCCCCGCCCTGCCCTGCAGCCACCACTCTACTTCCTGTCCCCGTGACTGACTGCTCTGGGCACCTGGGTAAGTGGAATCACATGTACTTGTCTCTTTGTGACAGGCTCATGTCACTTAGCGTCACTTCCTCAAGGCTCATCCACACGGAGCATGTGCTTTTTTAAGGCTGAATAATATTCATTAGAATCTAATGATTAGGTGTACGTCCCACACTGTGTCTATCCACTCATCTGTCCGTGGGCATCTGGGTTGCTTCTCCCCTTGGCTTCTGTACATATTGCCGCTAGGAACATGAGCACCAATGTCTCTTCAAGACCCCGCTTGCCGTTCTTTGGGCGGATACCCTGACGTTGGATCACAGGGTAGTTCTGGTTTTGATTTTTTGAGGAACCACCACTGTGTTTTCCATAGTGACTGCACCAGTCTACACTCCCACCCACAGTGCACAAGGGCTCCGACTTCTCCACATCCTCTCCAGCACTTGTCATTTTGTTTTGCTTTGTTTTGCGTTTTGATAGTAGCGCGGGGGGGAGGTGTGAGGTGAAAAGGCGGCTGCTTCTTTAAGGGGCCGTGGCATTTGTCGTTATTACTCTCAGGCCCTGACATTCTCTAAACCACTGTTGCAGAGACACGACTGTCAGTGACAAATCCACACACTCCCCTGCGAGGGGACCCTGGTTCTAGGTTCCCATCACCTGGGCGGGAGCAGGGCCCCATGTTTCCATCCCCGCCCTCCCTGGAGTTCTCGTGAACCCCACGCCTGACCATCCCCCGGAGCCACCTCATCACACTCAGACAATCAGCCGCAGTCTGTCATGTCTGCTTCAACAGGGTGTTGGAACACGAGGGCGTTCGGTAAATTCCAGGCTGGTCCTGAGTCAGCTGGCACTGCAGACACAGGTGCCCCGCCATCAGTCTGACAGCAGCTGCGTGCCTAACGCCGTAGCTCACCCTTTCAGCCTGCGCTCCTGACTGTGCGCTCCGAGACCCCGTGCTCTGCACCCGCCTGGGTTCCCACACAGTGAGA